GTCAAGATCCCATTGCACTTTCCCAAAAGGGCCGGGGAGCTCGACTGGACACCAGGACAGGCTGTGCTTTGGGCTTCTACAGACTGATCTCCCCAGGTCACGCTCTCACCCCTCGCCCTGCTCCGCTGCGCTTCAGTGGGGGAGAAAGTGAGTCTCCTCCTATATGTCAGGCACTGGGATCCCTTTTCATTGAACAACTGCAATCGACTAAATTCATCTTCTACTGCATAGCTTTCTCCCCCACCTTAGCATGAATTTCATCCTCCGTAGTGCGTTTTCTAAACACAAGAAGCTTCTATAAATAACACTACGCTTGCATGGAAACGGGCTCTGGGTCTACAGCAGTGCTGATTCAGCCCCCTTATGAAAAGTGAAACTGTCGCCTACTCCTCAGCATCTTATCATCATACAGTAAAGTTCAACTCATTCTGGAGTTCAGTTCTCTTCGTGTGGTTTGACCTTCTGACGAACGACAAGTGGAATATTAGAAAATAGGGAAACAGCCCACCACACAGACAGAGAGACAGGGTGTCGAGGAAGCAGAGGCAGCCTGCACACAGCCACGACAAGTCAAATCACCAAGCACTCTCCTGCACTGCGCTCCTGCTTATAAAAGGACATTTTCATATGCAAACCCCCCTGGGCAGCTCTTCTTCGTCCTGTCGCCTTTGGTTTCTGCTGAAAAGCAGGATGTGGGTCCGAAACTCATGTTTCACTATTCAATCCTCAAGGGGAAAAAAAAAAAACAGCAACCATCCCCAAGGAACACCGCTGAACTGCAGCACCACAGCTCCGCTGTGCACCCAAGAGTGAATCAGTATGAGCAAAACCAGCCTAGATGAACAATTAGCAGCTGCTCGATGACCGTACGGCGCAGGGGGAGCGCAGCACTGGTGCAGGCTGGGGAGGGAGAGCACGCTCACACTACTTATTTGCTTAACCTCCCCGAAACGCTCCGGTTCGAACCCTTTCCAGGGCTCCTGCAGCTGGCACGGACGCTGCAGGGCGCCACAGTGAAAACAGGAGCGAGCCGCGTTAGGGGCAACACCGCCGGGCTCCGGTACGGTGAGGGCGGATGCGTCACGCGGCGAAGGCGCGCGCTCGGGAGCGGCTCACCTCTGCAGGTCCGCGAAGACGAACTTGCGCAGCTTGAGGTCCCGCAGCACCACGCCGTGCTCGTGGCAGTGCGCCACCGCCGCCGCCATCTGGCCGAAGAGCCGCGCCGCCTCCTCCTCCGGCAGCCGCTTGCAGGCGCGCACGTAGGAGTGCATGTCGCCGTAGCTGCGCGCGAAGAAGACGTAGACGCTGCGCTCGCCCGTCACCACCTCCGACACCCGGCTGATGTTCTCGTGGGGCAGGAGACGGGCGTAGGGGGCGATCAGCTCCTGGTACCTCTTCATGGAGAAGACCTGTGAAAGACGGGAGCACCGGTCAACATCTGGAGGGCAACACCGCGGGGGCTGCTCGCGAGTTAGGTGGACGCTGGCCTTCAGCCACTCAAAACCTGCACGTTTGCAGCTTCGCCCACCCGGGACGCAGCTCTTCGGCTCCCTGGCCTTTTCACAGCAACAGCATTGTCAGCTGCCCTCTCTACTTCATAGCGATTTCCTGTTGATTCACACTAAAATGCCCGCAGGATCGAACGAAACGCATTCCATGTTGCAAACAAAACCGGCACGTGGATGCCTTCAATCGCAAAGCTTGATGCGCCCCGGTCCGGTCCAGGAGACGCCGTTGAAGAGAGCAGCCAGCTGTGGGGGTGTCTTGGAACATGCACCCGCCACGCTAGGTGCACAGCAACCGGCCACACGAAAGAGCTAAAAGTTAAGAAGAGGGCAACTAAAAATACCC